CACACACACAAAAACAAATGAAACTCTTGCTTACTGTCCTTCAAAAATGACAAAAAAAATTTAGCCAGGGATTTTTTTTTCCTATTATTTATCCTAATACTGCCAGTTCTGAAACAAAGCAGTTGGAGGGAGAAATTTAGTAACTTTGATTTGTCCCAAGATACATTTTTTTACACTGAGGTCCTATTCCTGACAGTAAGCACATGTGACCTGTTCTAAAAAAAGGATATTTTCCACTTCTTGCACAACTGGAGCAGATATAAACATCAGCCTGTGCAAACTGCACGGCAGAACTCAAAGGGAATTAAAAACATACACATACATACACTTAAATAAATTCTATAAATAGCAGTACTCAGGAAAAGGAAATCTCCAATAACACACAAAACCAACACTTAGAATCCCACTTTAATCAAGTTTTCCATCTAATCATACCACACCACTAATTTGCATAATAAGATTTGAACATCTGCCAGGTTAAGGCACCTCGATCTTGTCTATTTGGCTTCAGAAACATAATTCTATACAGGCTTTAGTTATTGTTATGAGAAGGGAAAAAACTGCAATCATGGTAAAACGGAAAAGAAAGAATCGGTATTACTTACTAACACGTGCTAGGCACTCTGCAAAGCATTTTTACACACTTTATCTGTTTTAACACTTCTACCAATCCTAAGAGGACAGTTCTACTGATCCCATTTTACAGATAAAGAAACTGAGGCTCCTAGGGGCCAAGTGTCTTGAACACAGACATAGTGGTTAAGTGGCAAAGCCACACACTTATGCACAGCACATAAGCACGGCTCCCTCTGAACCTGTCACGTGCATTCAGTCTCTTTGCCACTACCAGGTGCCCGCACACCACAAGGAAGAGCTGGGACTCTGGTTAGAAGTTTAAAGGGCAACCAAAAACCCTAAAAGTCTATTTTAAGATTATGCCCTCCAAGTCACCTAACGTTTTATTTAATGTTGTAGAGAAATACGTTTGAGTATTGCTTGAACTTCAAGGCCAAACTCAAATACCCCTATTTGTTCACAAAACTGCCCCCCAAATTCCCTTCCTCTATTATATTCCCCTTGCTGATGTCCACCTCCCCACGGGGAGCACACTCTGTCTGGTATGTTTCGCTGGATCCACGTGTTCCCTTTCACTCACCCACTGAGGTGCGTTTCGAAGAAGGAACAGCACAACGCACCTTGGCATTTCCCAGCCATTCACAGTGCCTTCTACACGGTGGTACAGACTAGTGAATAAGAGCCTGGGGCTAGAGCCAGACGGCCTCCATTTAAATCCAGGCCCATCTGCTCACTCTGCCTCAGTTTCCTTCTCTGTAAAATGAGAATGATAAAAATACCCTAATACCCAAGGTTCCTTACTATTTTTGTTTATGATCATTACCTCATGCAGGTTTTTCAAGATTAAGTTAACAAATATGAAAACACTCAGAACTGGGGCTGGTCCATGCTCCATAAATGGTAATTGTCATTACTGGTATCAATTTGCACATACTAGGATTTGATAGGTACAAGTTGAAAATGAATTTTTATGTATACGCTGATGCCACAACTGGTTTTTTTCACCAAGCATAAAGAAACTGTTATGGGTTGGATCAAAAATATAAAATCAAGAAATTTATCTGAACACTTCATTAGGAGGAAAGAAAAAAGAATTTACTAAAATTGGGGTGATTTTATTGCATAACAACACTAGCCTTAGAGAAGAAAGCCAGAGTCAACCAAATGCAAACACCTTCCAGAATGTCTGAACTCATCAGGCTAATAAAGGCTAAGAAAGAAAATAACAAGAACAACAGCTGCTAACTTTTACTGAGCACGTATTATATTGCAAGCACCACGCTAATACTTTTCCAAAGTCACTGTCACAGTCAATGTTCTTAAGACCTGTAGGAGGTGGGCCCCCATTTGCCAGAAGAGGAAACTGAAGTTGGAGGTCACTCAGCCTGCCCAAGGTCACCCAGCTAGTTAGGGACAGACAGTGATGCCAGAACAATGCTCTTCATCTCCACACTAGTGGTTCCCTGCAGAGTGAACAGACAGAAAAATCAAGAAAACTTGCAGAAACCAATAAAAGATTGAGAGTTTTGATTTGCCAAGAATGGATTATCATTTCATAAAACAAATGGTATTTTTAATAGGAATACAGGAGGGAAAATCTCAGCATAAATCCAAGAAATGGCAGTGGCTTTATACCGAAATACGTGTGTGTGAGTGTGCGTGAGAGTGTGCATGTGACATGACAATCTTTGTCTTTCTCAGTTCACCACAAACCTGTGAAAACTTCACACATCTCTCTATGAATCAGCTTTTGGGAACCACTGCTGTATCCTGTCCTGCCATTACAAACCTAATACTCATTTTCGTTCCCATTTCTAATTTGCAGGAAGTTAAATAACAGTCATGTAAAACATTACTAAAAATTCGAGCAGAGAAGAAACTGGAATTAGATTAAGCCAATTTTGAAGTCTGTCCAGGAAAAGGGCACCAGCAACTACAAAGCCACAGAATTTAGCACAGAGTAAACTAAACAAAAGGACGAGGGCTCTAAACGATGCTGCCATGTTTTAAAATGGTTTTTTTCCGGTCCCAAAGACCTAGAGAGAGTTCCTTCACTGCTGGGAGCTCATTCAACAGCTCCACATCTGTTTCCCTGACGTGACTGTGCCGACGTGTGAACTCTGGGTTCACCCTTGATATTTGGCACTTTTCCCCTGCACCCACCATTCAGAGCTCACTCCCAGGAAAACACACCAAGGTTTCAAAAACGTTATTGGGAGAATCAATCTGCAAACAATGCTTCACAGAACCTTTTCTGGTAGTGTGTGTCTTCCTACAACACAGTTGTGCCAGTCAATATAACCAAAAGGGGCTCGCATAATCTAAATTGAGCAGCTTCACATTCCTAAAGGCAAGGGAATCTGGGTTAGGAATAAAATATGTCTTTCCTCATGAAACACTTGCAGATGTGAGCTTAGCCCAAAGGAAGAATATACAACTCCTCTTTGGCAAGACCCTGGCGGATACCTATTTTTAAAGAAAGGCAATGTTGAATGCAAAAACCAAAACCAAAAACCTCAAGCTGAGGGGGGTATGAAGGGAGAAAGCAACACATATTTACATAACAAATCACTATTGTGCCAGGCATTGTTCTAGGTCAGTCACTCTGAAACAGGGGTGATTCTGCCCCCCATGGACATTTGAACATGTCTGGAGACATTTCTGGTTGCACAACTGGGGAAAGGGGGCTGCTGGCCTCTAGTAGGTAAAGGCCAGGGATGCTGCTAAACATCCTGCAATGCCCAGGTCAGTGCCCACAGCAAAGAATTATCCAGCCCAAAAAGTCAAGAGCACGAGGTTGAGAAACTGTCCTAGGCTCTGAGGACACAATAAACAAGGACCAGGCAGAAATCCTTGCTCCCTTGGAGCTTGCAGTCTTGTGTGGAGAAAGATATAATAAACCTAACATATTAGAAAATTATAGAGTAGGTTATATAATCTAAGCACTACAGAAAAGACAGAGCAGGGCAAGGAAGATGAGAGTTTGAAGGGACAACAATTGTAAATAGCATGGTCAGGGTGGGCTTGATGGAAGTCACATTTAAGGAAGACCTGAAGTTGGAGGGGGAGTGAGCACTGTGGCTCTCTGGGCAAAGGACCATCCAGGCAGAGGGACCAGCAAGTACAACATACAAAGGCCCTGAGGTGGAGGGTTCTGGAGTGTTCCAGGAACAGCAAGGAGATCAACCTGGCTGGAGCAGAGGGAGCTAGGAGAGTGGCAGCAAGAGAGAAAATCAGAGCTGACAGAGAGCTTGACCAGAGAGGCTGCCTTGTGCCATCTGAAGGATCTTGAGTTTTACTGAAACTAGGAGCCACTGGAGGGTTTTCAGTAGAGAAGGACATGATGTGACACGTTTTAACCCAGGGTTTCTCAACCTCAGCAGTGACAATTTGGGGCCAGATAATTCTTTGCTGTGGGGGCTGTCCTGTGCATTACAGAATGTTTAGCAAAGGCCAGGAGCAACGCCCTTCGGTTGTGACAACCAAAAATGTCTCCAGACATTGCCAAATGACCCCTCGGGGGCAAAATTGCTCCCTGATTGAGAACCAATTTTAACAGGAACATTGTGGCTGCTGCATTAAAAATCCATTAAAAAATGGTTAGGGTGGAAGGCAGGAGACCAGTTAAGAGACTACTGCAATAACCCAGGCGAGGCTGGTGGTGGCCTGGACCAAAGACGAGTTGGTGAGAAGTAGGAAGACTCTGGACATACTGTCAACTCGAAGATACAATCCAAGAACACAACTGATAGATGAAATGGCTACAGCAGCTGTAAGCTTTCAATTTCAACTTTTTCCATCCAAAACTTACAAGAAGGGAGGTGCCCCAGCCAAGACTTATGACAAAAAGCCATGAGGAGGCCCTGAACAATGGTGGCCCTTTTAAAGTCACACAACAGATGTCGATGACAATACGTGAGACAACTGTGGAAAACAGTATAGGGGAATTTTGCCAACTCCATACACTTATTCACAGATTTTATTTAACTGGTTTATTTCAAAAAGCATGTGTCTGCTCCACAGACAAGTTTGACAACAACTTTTTTAATTTAGCCTTTCTCTCCATACCGGTTCTGTCCTGCACCTGTCTCAGCTTCAAGGTGTGAAGCCACTGCTTCCCACGTACCTACATTTTTCCTTACACATTGCTAGCTAGCTACGGGGGACGTTCACCCTTGCAAGCAATTTTGTGCCGACTCTGAAAAAGAGCAGGCCCAAATCCTTCAACATGAGTTTCATGGCACTCGTTTAGGTTTTTCCAGATGGTATTTTCCTCACTCTCTTAAAGTCATTTAATTTATGTATCAGCTACCATCAAAAATGTTCCAAACAGTCCGGTTAATTCATTTCTTTCAGGACGACACACACACGCACACTCACTCCCTCATTCTGGTCATGTAAGCATTTGCTTTTAGAAGCAAAAGCAGAGACTGCTCGGTAAAACACTGGTCCCTTCAGGCGAAGGCAGATAAAGCCCCAATGAGCATAACCAACAATACCCTTTACACAATATTACTCAAAACCCCCAACCCCCAACACACACAAGCTATGCTCACACACAAAACAGCCATTATGAAGAGAAATCACCAACTAAAGGCGAGTTTTATGCATCTAACTGCATAGGAGGTTTCCTTCCAATCTGGGTGAAGCATCAGCCAAGTGGCTGCTTCAGCAACCCCAAAGGTGGGTGTGCTGTTCCCAGATTTTCTTCCCCAACTTGGATTCAGTCTTGACACAGGCCTGAAGGAAACACGCTTTCAGTTGAAGCAAGTACCAGCCCCTGGCCCCCAGAAGCAAAGATCACACCGCCTGACTCCTGATTCAGCTGCCCCTCTTCATTCGCCCTGATTTCTGGACCCACTGCCCCTCTGCCGGCCAGGCCCATTCACCCAGGCCCTACCCACGGCCAGGGGCAGGCAGGAAGGTTGGAGATGGGTGCAGAAGCACTGCTGAGCCTTCCACTGACAGCCTTATCTTATCTCACAACTGAGAGGGGTGGAAATACATCCTTCTCTACTACTACAGCCTCAAATGACCATCTCCCTCTTAGTAAACATTGGGAATGTCCGGAGTGGCCACAGAACACAAAGGAAGATCCCCAACCCACTCCGAAAGATAAGTGGGAGTGAAGGTAACATAGGAAGTGGGCACTAGAGGTGGTGGGGCGCCAGACCCGCGAGTGTCTTCACTCCTTTCCCAAAAAGTTTTTGAAGTCCCCAGCGAACTAAACACGTGTCGCTGCCAAACAGGAGACACGCCCGAAACCCTCCAGTCCCAAAGCTTTTTCCCCTCCCGGGAAGGCCTGGATTTGAATGGGACGCCATCGCCCGGGGAGTTTAACCTGCACCAGGAGGCACGCCCACTCGCCGCCCCCGGCCCCGCCCGCGCCCGGGTGCAGCCCTCGCGAAGGTGAGAGGCGGGGCGCCGGGAAACCTCACCTGGAGGCGGCCAGGGGCGGGTTTTCCCAGAGGGATCGGACTCCTAAGAGGCGACAACAGACAAGCTAATCGCTTCCCTTGAACGTTGCGCCTCAATCCACCCCAAGCTCTCCCTCTCCAAGTGATCAGCCCGCTGGGATCTTCAGAAAAGGGGTTCACTAGAAACTCTTCTTTTCCTGCTTTCCACCGGGGCAGCGTCCCGGCTCGGCGCTGCTCCTCCCCACCTCCGCGCCGGGTCGCTCCCCAGCCCCCACCCGGTCTCAGCAGCTGGTATCCCAAACCGAGGGTCCCCTCGCCTGGGCGGGCCGTCCCGGGCTGCCCGCTGCGCCCCCGAAGCGCGCTTGGGCGGAGCCCTCCAGAGGCGCACCAGCCGGGCGGGCGCGGCCCCCAGCTGCGGGGGGCAGTTCGCCCTCTGCCCCGGGGCAAGGGCACGGGGTCCTTGTCCCAGAGCCCGGCCAACCGGCTTTCCACGCCCCAAGGTGCGAGGCGCGGGGTCCCCCGGCCGTCCGCCGCGCCTCCCTCCAGCTGTCACCACTCACCTGCTCTTCAGGGGTTGACTTTTGAGTTCGTAATAGGTTTTGGGCTCTTCGTGAAACTCCTCCCCGACTTCGAAATCCGGCACGATCCCCGATTCCGACTGCATGGCTCCCGCTTCCCGGCCTTCTACTGCTGGAAAGTGCGAACAGAGCCCGGGGGCGGAGGGAAGGTGGTCAGGCCTGGGTCCCCCGAGCGGTGCGCCCCCGCGCAGTGCCGAGCTCAGCCCCTCGCCCGCGCGCGGCCGCCAGCCCCAGCGCGGTGAGTTTACACTCGCACCCGGGCGGGAGGGGCCGGCGGCCGCGCGCTGCCTGGGATCTGTAGTTCGATCCGGGCGGGGCATTCCCGGCTCGCCGGGGGAGCAGCTCCTGCGAAAACTACAGCTCCCAGAAGGCCAGGCGGGGGTTGAAGCAACGTGGTGGACACCGCTAGTGCAACTCCTGTTCGGATTCATTGTCAATGTCAGCAGCTCCTCTCGCTCCTCTCTCCCCGCTTGCTTCAAGGGTATGGACTTGGCTATTTAATATTAATAAGAAGGACTCAGCCCTGCTCTCCTATCGTCACCCCTCCTCCCACCTCAGACATTTGCGAGGGCGCGCCAAGTCGTTATTTAAAAAAAAAAAAAAAACATAGTGCAGGGTTTTGGCACTAGAAAGTTTTAGCCTTCAAGGCTCCCTTAAAATAAAAGGACTTCCTATCAGCCTGCATGCTTCCCAGCGCTGCTGCGACATATCAGCTTGTCCTCGGATTGGAACACAGTGGAGGAACTTTCCTTCACTTTGTCATTAGAATATTATCGTAGAATGTTCTTGTGCGTTTCTTTTCTATAACTAACTCAGACTGGACTTGTAATATGTTATTCACCCAGCTGAGTGGCTCTTTCCCCTTTATCCAATTAGCCACTTCTAATCTAAAGCAGCGCATGAAAGGTTTGATGAATTTAAAAAGGCACAAAGTTACGAAACAGCGTCGTCACTGTCTGCTTTTAATTTCTCAGTTGGCCGGGAGTTCAAACGAGATTGTCCTAACATTTCAGGAGTGGAGTTGTGCGGTACATAAACTGTACAAGTGTCAACCTTTGCCTGAGCTTCTCGGCACTCACTTAGGTACCAAAATAACAGGCTCTGGTATGGCTCATTTGTACTTCCAGTCTTTCCCTCTGATTAGTTCCAGTAGGATGTGTTCCTTCTTTTAAAAGAGACTTGAGGCATTAGGGAGGCAGTAGAGAGTTAGAGGGTGGTGTTTAAAGTTACAAGACCCAGAGTTGAAATCCCGAGTCCTTCTCTAAAGCGCTGTGTAATTGTGAGCATGTCACTTGATTCCTAGAAGCCTCGATTTCCTCATCTCTAAAAGAAGAGATTGGCAAACCTGTTTTAGAAGATGTTGCAAGGTCAAATGCAAGAGAAAGTGATTTGTAATCTATAAAAAGGCTGCTCAATGGTCAGTCTTTTATTTATTAGATCTTGAAGATATTCCTTGCCGACAACTTTTCATCTATGAGTTTGTCCCTTCAGAAGTCATCAATTAAATGATCATCCTGGGAGAAAACTCTAAGGAGGTTGGGCTAATGATTGAGCATCACTCAGACATGGCCGTTAGCACTTTTTTCCTCACAATGAAACATTTTCGTTTCACATTAGGTCCATACCATGAAACTATGATGGAACCTGAACACTCCTGAGGCAAACAGGGATTTGTGCTCACGAATGTGGGATCCCACATTCCTCAATCAAAGGACTGCTGGAAATCAGACGTTAAAGGAAAGAAGTGTTACCTTCTGCCAGAAGGAAGAGGAAAGGTAAGACATGACAGGAACATTCAGTCTAGACTCCTAGTCTCATCTTAGTTCTCAATTGTAGGTGCTTGGAATATGGGAGGAGGGGTTGATCATCATCATAACTCGGGGGTATTACAGGCATTTAAGGGGTACGGGCCAGAGATGCTATGCAAGGACAGGCTCTTGTTCAAATATCAGTGGTACCCCCATCTCTATGAACTCTAGAATCTGCATAATCTTTTGGTTTACCAGGAGCTTTTTAATCTGAGCAAAGCGATGGACCTTCTCCCAGAAAATATAGATATAAACAAGATTCTGTGCAAAATTTTCGCGTGTTGATCTTTAAAGGCTATCAAGTACTTCATGTTAGAACTGCAGTTGGTAACCTCTTTAGAAGTGTAATGAAACAGTCTATTTCATCATTCATTATATCAAACAGTGACCTGTTAGACCTAAAGGACCAAACTTGAAGGGGAAAAAACCATCAAGAAAGCTACGACCTCTGAACTTATCTCCAACTAAGGGCACCTTCCAGAGGTATCCCTAGGGTGCAGAGCTCTGCCATGAGGATGCCCTGAAGTACACACAGATAGCTCCTATTTTTTTCCCCTGCATTTTTTCTTCTGGTCTCATCCTACTCTTGCCTCAGGAAAACTTACATTACATATGGCAAGGTTATCAACTACAGTGCCATCAGCTACCCAGTGGGAGTGGATATGTGACCTAATCCTGACCAATCACTGGGCCCATTTCCTTAGCCACAGTGATTCCTTTACGGATGAATGCAGGTCCCTAACATGACTAGAAGTCTTCCTAGGGACTTTTCTGCAAGGGCTACTAGGGAAGACTGTCTGGTTTTTGGAAGCAAAGTGTCAGAAGGAAGGAAACCTAAAACTAACTATGTGTGGCCATATAACCAAGCTGATCAAAAACAAGACAGACTGAGATAAGATCAGCAGTCAAAGAGAAGCAGCAACAAGCAAAACTGAGAAGTAGAAAACTACCATAACATTGTTCCCGTTCCCTGTTCCAACCATACCTGAAGGCAGATATCCTTGGACTTTCCAAAAAGAAAATTTTTGGTTTTTGCTGGAACTCTTTGGTTTAGGCTTTTGTCGCTTGCAACCAAAAGTGATTTGAGTAATCATCCTAAGAACCTTCCACTCCTTTAAACAGGCAATTTTCTATGGACTGCCATACTGTTAATCCACGTAACAAAAAGTTGGCCCCCTGATAGATGGACTCTGTAATCCCTCTTCATTACTGAATTGAACCATAGGAGCAGATACCTCTTCTAAATAAAAGTAATAAAAGTCAAGAGCTCCACACATTTCAACCCAGGACTATGCCTATTAAAAGCACAAAAGCAATTGCTAAAAATTATAATTATTATCATTAATAATATGACCTATATTTAGGTAATAGTTTACTTTTTTACACATGCTTGTCACATGCACCTCTTTTTGAGCTCATAAAAATCCATCAAGGATAGATGGACAATGGTCCCATTTTAATATGCATTGAACATGGTCTAGTTATGAACATGGCGTTGTATTAGGTACCCAGACTACAAGAACGTATCTGACTTCCTTCCTGCCCTCAAGAGGCTCGCAGTCCAGGAGTTGAGTCAAGGCTTGTAACACAGTGAGAAACCACACATAAGTCAGCAAATGCTAAGCAGCAGATAATTGATGTATGCGTGTACTTTCATATCCATTTAGCTCAGCGACTATTTATGGAGCAACTAGTCTGTGCCAGCCACATTGTGTGCTAGATATGGGGGAAATAGCAGTGATGAGCCATGTATATTCCCTGCACTCAGGACGTGGTCCCTGCCTTTTTAGGAATAGGAATGAAAATGATTTAATGGATAAATAGAGTGACAGAGAGGTACACGGTACAAATGTCTGAGAAAGGAGCAACGACTGAGGCCAGGGACAGGGATGAAGGATTCTTGGGGGAGATGTGACTAAGCTAATCTTCAAAAAAATTTTAAAAAAGAAAGGAAAAATCTAGGGTGTAAAATGTGAAAACTGAATCTAACCAAGCCCCTAGATCTAACTACTAATTGACAGAAAAAAAAAACGAGAGAGGAACAAGTTAATAATACCACAAAGATGCAATCAGACAAACCCAGAAATTGAGAAATTCTACGAGATATTGAGAAATTCTTCAAAAACTAAAGAGCATGAAATAAAGGGGAAGGAGGAACTGCTTAGATTTTTAAAGATTTAAGAGACGTTAGATATGTTAATTACATCTCAATTAAAAAATGAATTGAAAAAGACCTCTCACTCTTGTGTAGACTATCTGGAACCTAATTCAAACAAACCTTGTGAAAATTCATTTTGGAGAAAACTGGGAGAGTTTGAACATGGGCTAGAATTGGGTGATATTAAAGAATTATTTTATTGGGTGTGGTAGTGGTATTCTGCTTATCCTGTTTTGAGTTCCTATGTGTTAGTTAGACATACCTATAAAGTATTTACGGGTGAGATGATACGATGTCTAGGAGTTGCCATAAAATACTCCATCTCCTGTCTCTGTCCTCAGAAAAGTCTGGGAAAGGAAGGATGAAGCATGAATGATAAAATGTTGAAACTGGCTAATGTGTTATAGAAGTTTACTGTACTACTCTCTCTGCTTTTGTGTATATTTGAAAATTTCCGTGATGAAAAATAAAACAAAAAAAAGTGAGAGAGAAAAAGAGATACTATCATAATGCTTTGTTTTAAATGGGGTACAAGTTTTGATAAAACTAGATTAAAAGGCATGTTATTCAAGAGAGAAAATGGACGTGAGGAAGATATGGAAGCAGTGTTGCACACAGGACGTTTGGAGGAAAGACTCAACAGAAACTGACTGCAATTGATTCAAACAGAAAAGAACTTCTTATTGACAGTGTACTGAGTAGCTACAGACCCTCAGGAAGGGCAGCAGAACTTGGCACAGAAGCTACACAAGTAGGAACAACTCCAAAATCTATGCAATAGAACTGGACTAGTGAAGGCACCACCAGCACCCCCTCTGTGTCACTAAACATCACAGCTTGCATCCCTGACACTGGACACTGGATGCTGTCCTTGGTTGAAATGCATGGAGCTATTGATTTGTATCACCTTTTTTTAGAAGCGGTATCTACTCCTAGGGCACAATTCATTAATGAAGAGGGGATCCCAGGGGCCATCTATTGGGTGCATAGATGATCGAGGTTTTGTGCCCAAACTCTAACAGCAAGGAACTCTAGCTACCCAAAGCCATTCAGTACCCTCTTTCTCTCACTATTGTGGAGACTTACAATAAAAACTATTTTGTAGTCTCCCTGGCAGCAATAAATTCAATTATGTTTACAGAAACCCACAAAGCTTCCCGTGCTCCTTTTTTTAAACATAATCTAATTTAATTTTTGTTTCTCTTATTTGAAATTATTCTAATAAGCACAGGATTGAACAACAATGAGGGTATTCAGTTACCTAAAAAGAAGGTGAAGGGCCGGCCCCATGGCCAAGTGGTTAGGTTCATGCGCTCTGCTTCAGTGGCCCAGGGTTTCGCCAGTTCAGATCCTGGGCACAGACATGGCACGGCTCATCAGGCCATGCTGAGGCGGCGTCCCACGTAGCACAACCAGAAGGACCTACAACTAGAATATACAACTATGTACTGGGGGGCATAGGGAAGAAGAAGGAGAAGGAGAAAAGAAGATTGGCAACAGATGTTAGCTCAGATGCCAAACTTTAAAAAAAAAATGAAGGTGAGACAGGCTCAGATGAAGAACAATGTAAATAACAGAAAAATAATAAGGGAAAAGGATGATGGGGTGGGAGAAGCAGCCGGTCAACAGGAAAGTTCTCTGCACCATCTTGCCAGCATATGTTCTTCCTATATGTACCAAGACAGTGGAATATATTCCCAGGCATGGGCCTGCCTCAAGAAAACAATGTAAGCAACCCAGACAAAGTTCAGACATGAAACATATCAAGTGGGAAGGTTATTAATTTTCAAGCCATGCATCTGCTTAGTGGCTGTGTAGCGTTCTTTAACTTTTTGGGTAGTAGATTTCTTTGAGAATCTGATGAAAGTTGTAGAGCTTTTTATCAGAAAAACGGGCATACTCAGAATGCCATTTGCATCTTCAGAGGTGTCACGGACCACCCTGTGATCATCTCTTGCTCCTCCAGGAGTCAATGGATCTTGGTCTTCTAAATATATTGTTCTTACAAGTGCTGTATAATGCAATTTTCTAGAGCACTGGAGAGGGGTAAAGGGAGGGGGGAAAATGCTATGTTGTGTAGACCAGGAGAGGAAAGTGGTGTGCTCTTCTCGGTGTGTTGTTCATGAACCATGTTCATCAGAATTACGTGGGGTGCCAACAAAAATGCAGATTTCCAAGCTCAGAACCAGAACTTCTAAATCAGAATATCCACGGCGTGGGGAATGAGAATCTGCATTTTTAGCAAGCTCCCCAGCTAGTTCTTATGCATGTGGAAATTTTAGAACCACTACTTTAAGGGACAATATCAAGCCAGGCTGAGAGGAAGCACACAAAAAGAAGGGTACCGAAATAATTAATAAATAATCCGATGCAGAATTTATGAAGCTTGGATCTGAATATAAGAGACAACATAGGGGGCTGGCCCCATAGCCAAGTGGTTAAGTTTGCTCGCTTTGCTTCGATAGCCCAGGGTTTCACCAGTTTGGATCCTGGGCAGAGACATGGCACTGCTCATCAAGCCATGCTGAGGTGGCATCCCACATGCCACAACTGAAATGACCCACAACTAAAAAAAATATGCAACTATGTACCGGGGTGCTTTGGGGAGAAAAAGGAAAAAAATAATAAAATCTTTAAAAAAAAAAAAAAAGAGACAACGTAAAGGGATTAGGAAGGAGCTGGCTGTGATCTGGAGGGTGATTTAAATGACCAAAGAACATGAAATCAACAATTCAAAGATTTATGCATCCCCATGTTCATTGCAGCATTATTCACAATAGGCAAGACGTGGAAGCAACCCAAGTGCCCA